GGGGCAGAATGAGATGAATTACATGAGATGAAGCGGGATTGGCCCTGACCTTATTGGCATTCAGGAAATCCCTCAAAATCTGGTTTCTAAAACAGGCTTTAATAGAAATAGAAGCCTGTGAGGTGGCAACACTGTGTCTAAGATGCTGGTCCATTCTCCTATCCACCTCACATACATGACTCTGAGCAGCGTACAAAACATAAAATCAGGTAAAGCAATTATAAAAGAATAGTACAATACAACAATTACAAAATTGAAAACAGTGTAAAGAAAGATGTAATTGCATTATTGTTTTACCTGATTTTATGCATTGTACATCTCTCAGAGTCATGTATGTGAGATAAGCATCTATATAAATTTAATAAAAAATACATAACATGAAATAAGTTGAAATTGCAACCTAGTACCGGTAACATAAGAGTTCCTATTTACCCAGAAATTTTTAATTTGGTACTAGCCTCTACATCGGTTCCAGATAGGATTGAACTCCCCTTGGTTTGGGGGATTTCTCCTAGAATCAACATTTCTACTTGAGCAGAAGGTCAAGGCAGTGGCTAAGGAAGACTTTGAGCAAGGCTTAGCTTTGGCTTGTGCACTAATTGTGCACTAACATCAATTCAATATTACCTATTAATGTATAGTTGTTCCCAATGCTTTTCTGTTTCAGGTGTTGAGTTAGACAACAAAGCAGCCTTGTTCATGAGAGTCTTATGACAATGCAACAAGGAGAGTGGTCTTCAATGCTAAAGAGTTTAAGACTCATTTATTAAAATTAGGAAGCTCTGCGTTCTGTTTAACTTTTCTCAGCTTTATGATCAGAGATTTCTAAATTACAGTTTCACAAAGGCTAGAAGCATCTTCCCTAATTGAAATGTCCTACAAGTGGGTTTGATTTATTGCGCAGTGGTCAGCAGCAGTGTATAACCCTTTAATTTCTGTATTGTTATTGTCCTGGATGGTTTTGTCTCTAATCCTGGTTTCATTGTTTAATGATTTACAGCAGAGGTGTCAAACTCAAGGCCCGCGGGCCAGATCTGGCCCATGGGGTGCTTAGATCTGGCCCACGGGGCCACCCTGGAAACAGCAAAGGACCGACTTGTGAGGCCTCTGCCAACGAAAATGGGCTCCCAATCTCCGTTTTTGTCTGGGACGGTCTCCTGCAACCCTCTGCCAGCAAAAACGGAGCTTGGGAGAGCCACACACAGGAGGGCAGAGCACTCAGGCCCCCACAGGCGCCCCTGACACGAGTGACATCAAGCTGGCCATGCCCATTCCAGCCCCCCCCAAGTCAAACACAACTCTGATGCGGCCCTCAATGAAATCGAGTTTGGCACCCCTGATTTACAGTAACAAGAGATGGATCTTGTTTGCTTTGGGAAGCTCAATATTGTAGTGAGACTTACTATCAAGACAGCTGAGTTCTGGAACTCTGCAATTGCTGTCAAGGGAATGGAGAGTTGAGAGATTTCCCATTTAATATATTTGCTCTCAGTTACTCATTTGGATGTCTTGCTTTACACAACGGCTGCTTTTATCAGCTGTTCCTAATTCTATGTCTGAGGAAAGCATTATTGTGATTCTTTGGCATGCTTAGTTAGGAAGTCATGCCTGCAGAGATAGTGATAAATCAATAATGGCTTAATGGGCAAACCTATGGGTGTTAGAAGTAATTAGTTCTTTATTGACTATTAAGGGCTGGGAATTATTATAGTATATGCTGTAGTTATTTTATACATTTAAAGCTATATCCTTTTTACTCAAACCCTTATAACTATTTCTTTCTTGGCTGTTATCATTTTTTTAATTCAATCATTCACTCTTTAGTACTCCATCTTGTTGCACACAAAAGAGGAGTCTAGGTTGGTTGTAATCTCTCATGACTACAACCAGCAGAAAATGAACAGATATATTATTGCCCTTGTCCATGTGCTGTGCATATATTTATATATTTCCCAGTATTAACTAAACAACAGCTCTCTTATTAATCTGTGTGGATAGGCATATTGAGTATTCACACCCAATATATTGTCTGTATAGTGGTATATATGATGTCACAGCCACAAATTAGCCTTTGCATAATTCTCAGCTCAGAACAATCTCAGCTCACATCATTTTGCATGAATTTTTGCTAAATATATTTATTCTCTTAATGTATACTGATCCAAAATTAGCTCAGATTAGTACTAGCATGAGGAGATCTACAGAACTATCATAAATACGTAAGAAGCCTGCTAATTTTCGAAAGTAGCAGACAATCTCCTTCCTACTATGTTCTTCCCTTCCAAGATTAAAAGAGGTGCATTTACAAGATTGCCCTGTGGCTAGTATCAGAACTGATAAATAATGTGTGAACTTGGTCATTTCTAAAAATACATTAACAGGAGAAAAAATAAGGTAGAAGTGGCAAGCAGATTGCAGGGCTGGTCTCTAATTTCCATATAGGGAAAAGGGTTGAGCTAAAAGAAGAATCAGAGCCTATAAAAGCTTTCAAAGGTGAAAGGTTTCTTGGTGGTTACGGACTGTCAGGGGTAAGTTTTCTTTTGTTTTTAAATCTCCCTGATCTTTTCTCTTTAAAAAAAAGTACAGGTTATACTATTCTAGGGGACTTTAGAATGCCATGATATTAAAGGGCACTTTTGTATAGTGAAGATGTGTTGCGCAGTCCATTCTTTGCTGTGTATTTTGAGCCTTTGCATATGGGAAGACTAACAAATTCTCAGCTGCTGGGCTGCCTGAGGATCCTGGATGCATTATCACATATTTTGTCTGTTCCTTTGCAGGTTGAGCACTTCATCCAGTTCCTTCTTTCTGTTGAGAGTAGATAATAAAAAGGTGAGCAATCCAAGTGTGGTTTTTGAGTGTCTATTCTTTCTAGCAAATTGCAGGTATTTATAGGTCTCTTGTGTGCTGTAGTATCATTTGATGAATGAGTCTGGTGTGGGTTTGGGGATGGAGGTTGTGCTTTTGTGTTTCTGAGTATGGAGATGAAAACCTCTGAGCTTTGATTTTCCTGCATATGAATCGTAGATGGAAGAACAGAATGCAATCTTGTTTTGAAGAGACAGATTCAGCTAACATCAATGCCAACTTTTCATCAAACTCAGCTTTGCAAACAAAAATGTTAGTTGTCTATTATAAGTTGTTCTGCTCAAGGTTGCTTAGTGATGTAGCTGTTTCTCACTTACCACACCTGCAGATGTTTCCTATCTATTCTGCATAAATACTATCCAATTCATTGGACATCCCTTTTAATATATGGGACAGTTCGTAAGCTAAATCACTCCTCTTCTGACAAAGAGATGCACCAGGTCTTCTCAGTGCTTCTGGTGAATGATAAGGAGCTGAGTTTCCACTTATACTAAAATAGGAAAAAACAAAGTCTTGCCCCTGTCTAAGGAAGTAGGTCTTTGGACAGCAAGGTGGTATATAAATTGAATTAATATATAAAAATAATAAGAATTCAATTAGAAATAATATTGCCTGTATTCATTTCACATTATTTATATCCTATGCTCTTTGGAAATCAGTAGAAAAGTGTGTGTGTGTGTGTGTGTGTCAGTGCTCTTCCTACAATGTTATATTATTTTACATCATTTTTCCCTGTTCACTTTCAACAATTGATTGCAAAGAACTGTCTCTTGATATTTAAGATTTTGCACTTGCCTAACTATTTAATGAATAGAGGAGCATTCCACTTCTACTTATTTTTTGCTATTGATATTTTGCTTTTTTTTTTTTTTTACAAAAGTTCCCAGAAAAAATTCAGGCAAAATTTAATAGAGGTTCTTTACAGAGGCATGTACTATAGTGAACTGAAAACATATAAACTACCAAGAGACAGACAGGCTGTCTCACATTAGAACAAAGGAGTTTTTGCCTTGCTACTATGATTCCTGACAAAATAGCTGAATCTTGGAACTACTTTGCTTGCCTAACAACCTATACATATCACTAGGTATAGTAACTGAGAGCAGGTGTACTAATGCTGTACACCTCTACTTTAAATCAAACAAACTAAGCTTTTTGTATCTCTTATAGCTGCAACCATGAGCAGGGATACAGAGATGGAGGTTTTTGGGGCGGCTGCCCCTTTCCTGCGTAAATCTGAAAAGGAGCGAATAGAGGCTCAGAACCAGCCCTTTGATGCCAAAACTTACTGCTATGTGGGTGAGCCCAAGGAGGAATATGCCAAAGGGAAAATTAAGAGCTCTGAAGGTGGGAAAATTACTGTAGAGACATCAGATGGCCGGGTGAGCATCTTCCATGGTTTGGGCGACGAGGGGGTGGGAAACACGTTTTAAATTTAATTTAAATAACTCTTTTGTTTTAAGAAAATATTTTTCTGATGCAATGTGAGACTTTTGGAATTAGAATCAATGCATAGCTCTGTCACTTACTGTATATATTGGTGCAAAACCCAATCCCATAAATTCCTCCCTCAATTATTCTGAAGACAAATGGGGCAAGATTGTATATTTTATTGGGATGAGTTGCTGTAAGTACCTCTAGCATGAGGGGGCATAAGCAATAGCTTTTCCCTTAAAATTTTCCTTTGGATCCCATAGACAAGCAGATTTTGAAGTGTAATTTGCTGGGCCATTCATTCTTTTGACAATTGATGGATTTATAGATTAAGTTAAAGTTTTAACCACCTCAAGCTTCAATGCAAGATGACATTCCTTGAAGGCCAGTTTTAAGGGGGAAATGGCTGTAATGTTATCAATAGCTTCTCGATAATAACAGAATGATATGCTTGTTCAAAGTATTTAGTTGGGACTGAATCTTTAATTCTCCCCTAGCCTGTGCTTTTTCTGAATGCTTTTTCTCTTGTTCTTTCAGACAATAACTGCCAAGCCAGAGGATGTGTACGCAATGAACCCACCGAAGTTTGACAAAATTGAAGATATGGCAATGCTGACGCATTTACATGAACCAGCCGTTTTGTATAACCTCAAAGAGCGCTACAGCTCTTGGATGATCTACGTATGTTTTATCCTTACCTCGTACCAGGACCGAAATCTCAAAGAGGGCAGATTTTAACCACTATTTTTGGTTTCCATGCAGACCTATTCAGGCCTCTTCTGTGTCACTATTAATCCATACAAATTGTTGCCTGTGTACAATCCAGAGGTGGTATCTGGTTATCGAGGGAAAAAGCGTTCCGAGGCCCCTCCCCACATCTTCTCCATCTCTGACAATGCATATCAGTTCATGCTAACTGGTAAGTCTGCTTCAAGGCCTGAAAGGGAATAAGGTTAAATAAAGACTAGTACCAAGAGATGGGGGGGGGGGGTTTGGGCTGGGGGCAATGGCATAGGTCGTCACCATCTCTCCCAAGTATCCCTGCCTACATGAAATTAATTTGAGAGGTGCTACTTGGCATGACCCAGCATCAATCTCTGTAGTTTGTAAACATTTTTTTTTTTGCCTCTTCCTTTGGCAGATCGTGAAAACCAGTCTATTCTGATCACGTAAGTAGACATTTCAGATTCATCCCGCTTGATTACTGTAGTAACACAGTGCTAATTCAAATAATATTTCTTTACCTGATGATTGATTTTTCTTGCTAGTGGAGAATCTGGTGCTGGAAAGACTGTCAACACAAAGCGAGTCATTCAGTATTTTGCAACAATTGCAGCTACTGGAGAAAGCGCCAAGAAGAAAGAAGAGTCAAAATCGAGCATGAAGGTATGAAAAATACATCTCATTCTAGATGTGCAGATAAAGAAAATGAAAATCCCCAAACTCTAAGCAAAGGGAGTCTGACTATTTATATACTTTCTGTCTCAAGTTCCACAGAGTTTGTTCAGTGGAATTCTTTTTATCAATAACCACTAAAACCAAAGTAACACTGTACAGGTAGTCCTTGATTTATGACCACAACTGAGCCCAACATTTCTGTTGTTAAGTGAGACATTTGTTAAGTGAGTTTGCCCCATTTTACGACCTTCCTTGTCACAGTTGTCAAGTGAATCACTGCAGGTGTTAATTTACTAACACAGTTGTTAAGTGTTAAGTCTGGCTTCCCCATTGACTTTGCTTGTTGAAAAGTCACAAAAGGTGATCACATGACCTTGCGACAATGCAACCATTATAAGTATGAACCAGTTGCCAAGCATCTGAATTTTTATCACATGGTCATGGGGATGCTGCTATGTTTGTACCTGTGAAAAATGGTCATAAGTCACTTTTTTTCAGTGCTGTTGCAATTTGGAATGGTCACTAAACAAATTGTTGTAAATTGAGGACTAACTGTAATAATAGTAAGATTCCTTCAGAAAGGTCTATACTGCATAGTTCCATAAACAGTTTTATTCAATTTTTTTTTAATGAAAGAGAATGGAATTATAATATAATCATTATACTTAATAACTATCCGGAATTAATTTCTCATGCCTTCATAATAGCTATTCCCAATGCTGTTAAAGCAAAAACCTTTGACCAAGGTTCTAGGACATAAACTATGATTTACAGTTATGATTTCAGTTGTTTCATCCCAAATGCTGACAAATGTAGAAATGGTTGAAGGGTAGATTTTATTAAACCCTAAACAAAATAGGTGACTGGATCATGAAATCTATATACTGAAGGAAGCACTTTCTAAGTCCCCCAGGAAATGAAGCTCTCCTTCTGCTGCCAGCAGCAATTCTAGTTTGCAGAATCAGATTTTTATCATAACAGACTTGTGAAAAATGTATTGCCTTCTTTTGCCCCCTCGCTTATCCTCCTAATTCCCTCCTTCTGTTCTTTCCCTCCATTCTGACAGGACCTTTTAGGAACCATTTCTGGGGAAAAAAATGTGAAGGGAGCAAAATGCATTTCCTGCTTTTAGAATCACTTTCTGATTTTTTATTTTCTTGAGCGAAATAATTAATGTAACAACTAGTAACGGTGTGTAAAATGTCTGTAGAGATTCTCAGTCATCCAGGTCATGGTTGTCCCAAAGGTGCTTTTTCAGTCTAGTTGCCTCCTGAAAAAGCACCTTTGGGTATGCAAAATGTTTTGAATTTTAAGCATTTCAAGTCTGAAACAGCTGTTTTGATCTGGGTGAAAGTGTTCTGAGCTTTCTGTACTATTGGTAAAGTTAGAGCAACCCATTTTGAACTCAAAACATTTTGCACATTTCTGAATCTGAGCACCAATAATGAATCACTTAAATCTTAAGAGGAAAGAGTGATGCGTGTTTGGGGCAAAAAAATACTGTATGGAAACTTCTCAGAATTAATTGAAATTCAGTGAAGGCACTCTGGTAATTTAATTCCAGATTTCTCATGCCTTGGTCCTATGAAAAAAACATTTAAACATTCTAAATCTATTCATTGGAAAATCAGTCACATTTACTTTAATTAAGCTCGCTTCTGTTCAAGATTCTGCAGTGCTTTCTCTACCCCTCCCTCCTTTTGGTTTTCAAATATGTCTTCCAATACTCCTGCAGGGGACACTTGAAGATCAAATCATCAGTGCCAACCCTTTATTGGAGGCCTTTGGGAATGCCAAGACTGTGAGGAATGACAACTCCTCCCGTTTTGTAAGTGATGAATCTTTGGCAGGCGACACATTTGCTTGCAAGCCTCTCCAGACAGCCTGTCCTGCTCCTTTTCTCATTCCCCATAGAGCAATTCAAGCTGGCATAAAAAAGTCCCATCTTCAATGGAAGGCTTTTTTAAAACAATGTAATTCAAAACCTAATACAAAGAGGTAATTGGGATGGGGGATATTTCAGCTTGGGTAATAATAAACTTACCTCCCTGCCCAAAATGATTATGTCCTTCCTCAGAAGATTCAGTGAAAGGGTTTTCCAACTGGGTAGTAGGTTTCTTTGGCTCATACTACATGCTGTGATATTTTCACAAGTGCTGCCAATTCTTATATGGGTGAGGATATTCAAAAATAAAGTAATGGGGAAGAAGCTTTAATCCAACCATCCTCACAGGGTATATCCAGTATTAACAAAATGGGTCAGTTGTATGTTCTTAAATATGGTAAATATATAATTTGACCCTGGACATGACTGTGGGTTATTAATATAAGAACAGGTTTGTGGGTGCCTGTTTGATGTGAGCCAGGGGGTATGGGCCCCTTAGGTATATAGCACCAGAAAGTATGTCCTTACAGGAAGTGGTCCTCCAAGTAAAGAGAAGGATTCTTTACTTATTTACTTTTTTTTTTTTATTTGATTTATATGCCGCCCTTCTCCAGAGACTCAGGGTGGCTTACAATGCGTTAAGCAATAGCCTTCATACTTTTGTATATTTTATACAAAGTCAGCTTATTGCCCCCACAATCTGGGTCTTCATTTTACCTACCTTAGAAAGGATGGAAGGCTGAGTCAACCTTGAGCCTGGTGAAATTTGAATTTGCAGTAATTGCAGGCAGCTGATGTTAATAACAGTGCTTTAGTCTGCTGTGCTACCAGGGCTACTTTCCATCATCCCAAAGCTGGTTTTTTTTTTTTTTTACTAAGTAATAACCATTTCATAATATAAGACCTATATCTTCCATTCTTGGAACAATTCACCTATACCGAGAAAATCCTCACTGACTTGATACAGGAGAGCCATGTTAGTCAATATTAGCCAAAAATCAAAAGGAATCTGGTGGCACCTTTTCTAATAACAAATTTATTAAAAGGCATATTTATTTGAGCTGCCACTCACTTCATTTGATGTATGGAGTTTGACTGAAGCCTGACAACTTTGTAGTCGGGCAGTTCAACAGAGAGTGGATGATTTACGTGTTAGTTTTATATTGCCAATTTTATAGGTTTCTGGAATGTTTTGGAACATTAGCTTTATCTTGGCTTCAGCAGCCATCTTCTTCCCTTTTAAATTCACTTATAGGAAGGAGTGAAAGAGATGTGAAAGAAAATACCCCTAACTGGAATATTTGTGTTGTTCCTGTCTGCGTAGTAAAACATCCTATACCTATTAAGAAATCCTTGAAAGAAAATGATTTCAACTGAAACAAGGTTTAAAACACACAGAACAACACAAGGAAAATTGTTAAAGCACAGTGACTTATCTATTTATTCTTCAGCAGCAAACAGTTTCTTTGAAAACAGTACCACCTTCAAGATATAAAATAAAACAAAAACCATACCGGTAGCAAAATATTCAATTACAAAAATAAATCTAATCCATATGTTGTGGCTCATTAAACATTTCTAGATTTATGAAATAACTTTCACGCCTTTCTACCCTGTAGGGAAAATTCATTAGGATTCATTTTGGTGCCACTGGAAAGCTGGCTTCTGCAGATATCGAGACCTGTAAGTAGCTGAATTTGAGAATTGTCTACGTAATGTCTACAAAATTTGACTCGGAAACATTAATTGGACCTTCTGTTATAGATCTTCTGGAAAAGTCAAGAGTAACCTTTCAGTTAAAGGCTGAGAGGAGTTACCACATTTTCTACCAGATTATGTCCAATAAGAAGCCAGAACTAATTGGTAAGTAGGATTCCATTTTACTTTCCTGAACCTTTTATCTTATTGATAATGTGTGTGGTAAATAATATGGGGAAGGATTGTTATTGTTTTTTTCTCTGTTGACTATTTTCTGCATTGGAAAGCTTATATACGATAATCCCTAGAATTTCAGAAAGGCTTCCCGTGTATATTATTTCAGAAATGCTTCTTATTACAACAAACCCTTATGACTATCCGTTCGTAAGCCAAGGTGAGATTGCAGTCCAGAGCATTGATGACCAAGAGGAGCTTATAGCTACAGATGTGAGTGAAAAAAATGATTGTGATTTAAAACAAAGAATGTAATTCCTGTCTGAAAACATAACTAACTGTGACACTCTCACCCCCCCACACCCCCTTTAGTCAGCCATAGACATTCTGGGCTTTACTTCTGAAGAGAAAGTTGGCATTTATAAACTGACAGGAGCAGTGATGCATTATGGCAACATGAAATTTAAACAGAAACCCCGAGAGGAGCAGGCAGAACCAGATGGCGCAGAAGGTAACAAATTAGCTTTCAAATTTTATAGATCATATGATTCAACTGTATGATTTACAAAACTCCTTTGGAAAGAGCAACGGTAAAGGATGTCTTCTCAGCTTTCAGCAATGAAATATTTGTTTTCTCTCATATGCTTTGCATTTTTTGTAGTGTGTACTGGCATTAAACCGATTACTTTTTGCTTTGATTGCCTTATTGATTGAGAGGTAGAAATGTAGAAATGTGAGTGAAAAAGGAAAGAGTTTTCAAAGAGAGAGAGAGGATAGGCCTGCAGCTTAGATACTCTTTCTATAGAAGATTTCAAATGGAACACAACTAACTTTTTAATTGGGTTCTGGTTTTTGAGCAGTAAGGATTAAATGAGAAGTAAGGATTGGACAAAGGCTGAATTTCACAACTGTTCTCTGTCCAGAAATGTCAATATTGTTTTCCTGCTTCTAACTCGTGCTGCCAATTCACTGGTTGTATTTTTCACAACCCCAATTACTCTACTAAAATTTCACAAAGCCTTGTTTCTTGTGGGTTCTTTACAGAGGCTGACAAGACAGCTTATCTGATGGGCCTAAATTCTGCCGATTTGTTGAAAGCCCTGTGCTTTCCTCGGGTGAAAGTGGGCAACGAGTAT